GAACGAATTAACAATCTTGTTGGAATAGTCAACCTTCTAAACATTCAGTTTAATGATTATGCTAGCCTCCAAGAACACCGATATAACACTCTTCATGAAATGATGGAAACACAAAACACAAACTTGGCAAACTTTCAGTCGGCTTTCATGGCTCGCTTTCCACCAAACCAACCATAAGAAAATGAGGAACAATAACATTAGTCAATGCTTGGCACTTTATTTCTTGGTTGTTATGCTTATATTACCATGGTTTTGTACTAAACTGTTTTACTTCCCGTACTACTTTTTGTTTTATTTGGGGTTTGTAACAATGAACATCGTATTGTTTTACTTTAATGGTTATTGCATCTATTTTCGTTTGCACTTGCTTCATATTGTGTGCATGTTAGCTTGTGTTCTTTTTGCAAAGTTGTAAAATATTGGTCACTCTATGTTTTTTGGTTCTCTTAATACATGTCCTTGTTTCTTTTTGATGTTGTCAAAAGATGAGAAGGAAAGGAATACAAAGCCACAACATAAATATGCAATATCTCAGGGGGAGGATGATTGGATGATTCGCAAGGTTGATTTGCAACCATTGAGACGATTCATATTTGCGGTTTTTGCCATCATCAAAAAGGGGGAGTATGTGAGGGAAAAAGTGAAAGAACTGAGTTTTAATGCTTGTGAAAAACCTATTTGTGCAAATATGTCATGCTTCAAACAGGTGCAAGTGAGAAACATCAAAAATAAGCATTTTTCTCAAAACAGACTGCATGAGTCGGCTCATGGAACCTTAGGTCGGCTCATAAGAAGAAGATTTTGGCTTGGAAACGTCCGGGAAGGCGCACACCTTCTATATGCATCGATGCATAGTTCTGGGAGAACATGAGTCAGTGCATCAGGGAATGAGTCGGCATATGACTGAAGGAATTTCAACCTCTCTCGCTCAGGAAGGCGTACGCCTTCTCTATGCATCGACGCATAGTTCTGGGAAAACATGAGTCGATGCATCAGACAATGAGTCGGCACATAACTGAAGGAATTTCAACCTCTCTCGCTCGGGAAGGCGCGCGCCTTCTGTACACCCTGCATGAGCCGATGCATCGCTATATTGTCTCATTTTTTCTGCTATGTTGTTACATCATGGGAATCACTTATATATTGTTTTGGCCTTTATTTTCTACAACAACAAGAAAAAGTGAAAGATATACACAAGAGATCTCTTCATCTTCAACCTCTCATCAACTATCAACAACTACACACAATCAGTTTTGTTGATCAAGTTTTTGGGATTGTGTTGATAACGTCCGAATTGAAAGTGCAATTTCAGATTTGGGTAGAGATCTTTGTGGGTTTTTTCTTGAATAAAACCATTGGGGTTTTGTCCTCCAAAATTGGGGTTTTTTATCACAAGTCTTTGCTTCATTGAATTCAGCCGAGCTAAGGGATTGGAATACCGTGGGGTGTTCAATCGGGTAGCGGTAACCGGAGGATTGTGAAGAAGGATTTGGGGCCAATTTCTTGGGTTCAAAATCATTCAAAGTAGAAGAAGATTTTGTTCAAGATTTGGCATACTTGATTCATCTAGAATCAAGGGAAGAGGAGTGCAACATATAAGATTCATCAAGTGACTTTGAATTATGGTGATTGTATATTCTCTTACAAACATTGCAAAATTAATTTCATATTCTAATTCTAGATTCTAGAATTGGGGGCAGAGTAGCCCACGCGAGGACGACAGGCTGAACTGCCTTAACAAACACTGTGTCCATTTTAGTTTTCTGCATTTTATTTCTATCTGCTTGAATTTGTGAGTTATCAATTCTCATTCATACAAAATAATTGTAGTGACAAACTAAAACTTTACACCTCATATAGCATTCATTTGAATCGCTATAATCACTAAAATTTGAGTATAACCAAACCTTGTGTAGTACATACACCAAGTGTTTGGTGAATTTACAACTTACAAATTTGCTTTATCTTCTCCGCAACTAATTGGTAATAACTTACACCTTGTTAAAACTTGCTAAAAGCGATCATCATATTCAATTCTAGTGTGATTATATTCTCATCATTTTCATTAAATTGGTTTGCATATCCGATCTTTCCAATACATAAAGTTTAGATGATCAGATTCAGGGCTGTAGCTCTCTGATAAAAACAATTTTATAAAAAGAGCAAAATTTTCAAAGGGATCTATTCAACCCCCCTTCTAGATCCGTCACATTTTCTAACAAGTTATGGAATTGGTTAGGAGGTTGTTAGAGTTAGTTTAGGAATTATGTTGTGACAATTAAGAGATTAGAAGTTGGTTTAATCTGTTATTTATTGTTGAGTTGGTTTTCCATCACAAGTTAATTAGTTACTGATTAGAAAAATAGTTGGAAGTTAATACTGATAGAAAAACAGTTGGAGATTAATACTGCTACTCTGTTTTTGGATCTAGTTATTTTCTGAAATTTACAGGGCTTGTGCAGGGCTGGGAAATTTTGTTTTAATTGTTGTGAATTCAATTTGCAGGGGTTGTATGTGTGCACAATGACTGTTTAGGTTGATAATTGTCAACTGTTTTTCTTTTAACACCTATTTTGTTATTAGTTTTGACACAAAGCTATCCCTGTTTTGATTCAGGGAAAGTCGTGGAATGCTGGCTTGGCGCAGTTGCAATAAGAAAAAAGGATAGGAAGCACATGGAGATCGCCTTGGCAATTTAGAGTTTTCTTTTTTTTAGGGAACATTTAGAAAATGAACTTGAATAAAGATGACAAGTGATAGGGACGTAGATAGAAATGATATGATAACTTGATACATCAGAACCTTGTAATTTGAATTCATTTTGATCGAAGTTAAAGTGCCTTGATTCACTTTGAACAAATTATGAATGCAATTTGATGGATCCTTGATGATGTTGAAGTTTGATATAGTATGGTATTTGGGTATGATGTTTGAAACAGAAACTTGTATGTAATTGGTAGGTACTGAACATGTATGGATCTTGTTTCCTTGTGAGCTTTTGAATCTGATGCCAAATCCAAATGATCATAACGTTCTTCTCTTTGAATTACCAAGTTTGTCTTTTAGTTGTACTTTGAAGTATGCCTTTGTTATTTGAATATCAAGAAATTCACATAAAACATTCAATCTTGCATGAACCCAATCTTGATAACTTTGATCAAACTTTGAGTTTAAGTTATCACTTGAATGAGTACTTTGAATTATCTCAGAAATCAATGAAACCTTGACTCCGTTCTCAAATCCATACCAACCTCAACCCAAATTAGCTCGCATGACAAGCAACAAACAATTTGAAAGATGACGCCTTGATTACAATCCACGTCTTGTACCATGTCTCGACTATATGAGCAATAGAATAACAATACCTTGATTGTATTACACATCTATAATATCACCTTTATACCATAATTTAAACCTTGTACTTCACTCCGCAAAGGCACCTCGATTGACAACCAATGATCTTGAAGCAATTGTCATGAGGAAAACCTTGTAGATAGAAACAATTAGAAGCATATGAGTGATGATGATCACAAAACCCTGTGATTCCTTGAGATGCACCTTGATGGCTTAAAAGCCCATGATGAAGGTGTCCTTGTAGCTTGTTGATAAAGGAGTTCATGAATTAAAACCCTAGCTTCAAACATCTTTTGATTGATGAACTTATTGATTAATGATGCATGACGTGCAAAATGACCTAATGAAAGATATGTATACGATGATACATAAGCCAGATGGTCCTTATTAAAGGGTAGGACAAATTTGGAATATTACATTCAGGTCAAACGCTGACCCAGTTCAGAACAGGAAATAAATAGTTGGTTTTAAATATGCATTGTGTTGTGTCTGCGAAACAAAAATGAGAGTTATGATTTTCTTTTTTGTGAAAGGGATTAGAATAAATATTATCAAACTAATAAATTAAAACAAATTACCTGGCTTAATCAAATTAAAATTATGATGTTAGATTGATTTTCAGCACAATAAACCTGCCACTACACTAGAGACGTTTTTTTTTTGGTTTTGTTTAATAACATCATAGGCATTACTATTTGAAAAAGGATATAAGTAATGGCATAACATTAACTAATTAGATGGATTTATAGTAATATTTTATAGTTTTGTGATTTTTTTAATAAATTTTTTACAGATAAGTTTCAAACAAGAAATTACTTTAACAGTTTTTATAAAAAAAGTAATTTAGATATTTTTATTATTTGCTGTGATTTTTTTTTCCAATTATTAAAATCTCAAAAAATCACATTAATTATTCTGTGTATGATTTATCAACTTTCATTTATAGATTAATTTTAAATGATACTCCTAGTAACAGTGTATTGCTACAGTCTGTGATATTTTTTATTTTATTCTTTTCAACTTTGCCTTTTCATTTAAAGCTATTTTGAATAACTTTTAATTATTTTGAAATATATAAATTTAAATTTTTTAAAATAAAGTTACATTTTTTAATAATAAATATTAAGATATCGATATCAAAATTAGTCTTTTAACTTATAAAAATAAATTTAAAATAATATCTATTATTTTTGAAAAAGTAATCATAGCAATCATTTTTAAAAAAAAAAAAACATTTTGATAAAAGTTTATCATAATAGTACATAATATCATGAATTGACAAAGTATTATAGAATTAAACTTAAATGAACTTTTTAGCCATTAAAACCTTTTACATTAACCTCTATTGGCATATCATATCATGAATACCCTTATATCATGAATTTTATGATAGGGATCTACAACTTTTGTTTAGAAGTCAAGACATGAATTGCCTTCATTTTGAGCAAAACTTTCACTTTCAAAAAAACCAAAGAACCATCGTGCAAATGTATTGTTTTTGAACATTATTCTCAAATGTCCAAATTTGGATGAAACCCATTGGGCAAAGAAAAGCAAACATCCAAAGCTATAATTTTCATGACTTTTCATGTTATATTCCAAAGCATCAAAGATTATTGGCAATATAGCACTTCGATTCTGAGCCACTAAGCTTTTATAATGTGCTCATTGCTCCAGAAATAGAGTGCTCGTTCCGCAACCTGTTGTGGATTCAATTGACAGTGAGAGCAGTCAAAAGAAAATAATGAATCATTTTTCCTTTACAAATAACCCTCTAAAGCTAAGAATATCCATCATTGTACTGTTTACAGTATACACAAAAATAAAACAAATACTTGAAGCTGCAAATGCAAAGTTTAAGGTAGTAAAGAAAAATTGTATATGGCAGTGACAACAGACCTGAAAGTGAGGGCTGTTAAGGCATCGACCAATCTGTCTGAAAAGAGAAGCCATACATCTTACAAACTCAGGGGGTTGAGTTGACTCAAGAACCTCTTCTAATTCACCAAGAAAAAGAACTTCCTTATGGCAATTTGTAACAGGCCAATACTTCAACAAACCCTTTATCACAGGATCACCCAACCTTCCATCTTTCTCAAAAAACTGAACAACACAATAAGACAAATTCTGATGATAGGATGAAATACATTTAGGTTTATGAAGTGGTATAAGAGCCCTAAAAAAATAAATTATGCTCCTCTTTCATAGGAAATGCAAAACTATCTATAATGAAGGCCAAATACCATTATGCCTCTGTGTTTCAAATATAAAACGATAGAATATATTGCTCATAGCTTTTCTTATAAATGGTCTATGAACCATAAACTTTCCATAAATACGATGAAGAATAGTCATCAAATACTCACGTTGGCGTTGATCCTCTGGAACAAAAATGTCCATAAGCTTTAAAACAAGCACATGATCCACATAATGATTTGCGATTTTTGTATCAGACTCCGGCAAAACAATGTAATTAGAATTTTTGATAAATTGTAATAGACAACCATTTGCATAAAAAATAAAATAAAATAGCTATGTAATGTACAACGGATAGAATTGATGATTACCAATGTCAAACCTTCCTCTAAAAATCTCTTCGACGTTGTTTAAGAAAGCGGGAAAGGATGCGAAACTTCCCGTTATTTGAAGTTAAATGAAAGAACTATACATATCAGAATCCACAGGTTCACCAAAAATCTCCACAAGTACATGAACCATCTTTGAAGTGATGAAATCGGTTTGTATCCCGAACAATAATCTCCCTGCTTGTAAACTTACACACAAGTTTCATAAAACTATGGCAATCACCACAAATTCTAAGATTTTTCATAATCCTTATAGGTATATCACTTGGCAAACACATCAATCCAAAGGTGACAGCAAGTTTCTCGCTGTGGTGCCTCAAAAGCATCTGCTTTTTGCTCTCGTCTACATCGTGCAGGTCATTATTGGTATCAACCTTGTAATTCAACTGCTTCAACTCTTCCACCAAATCATCCAACTTAGCATAAATCTCCTTGATTTGTGGATGATTTCTCTCGCCAACGGTAAACGAATGAATCTTGTTCTTAATTTCAATCCAGCTTGTACCTCTCTCCTTCTTCAATTCACTCTCTCGAAGAAGCTTCCTTGCTTTCGCAACTTCCTCCCACTTTCCATTTGCTGCGTAAGTGTTTGCTAGCAAGATGTGGTTTCCTGCGTTATCAGGTTCCATTTCAAACAGATGCTTGGCTGCAATCTCAGCAAACTCAATATTTCCATGATTTCTACAAGAAGCTAAGAGTGAACCCCATATAGAACTAGTTGCACTAAACGGCATTCTCTCTATCAATTCATAAGCCTTGTGAACAAGTCCCGCACGACCCAGAATGTCAACCATACATGAGTAGTGAAGAACACTCGGCTGAAGATTATGCTGTCTAACCATGAGGTCAAAATATTTACGCCCCTGTTCATGCAAACCCATATGACTGCACGCATTTAGTACAGATACATATGTTACATCATCAGGAACGAAGCCTCTCTGCTGCATTTTTTCGAATAAAATCATAGCCTCTAGCGCACAAGCATGTCTAGCAAACCCAGAAATCATAGCATTCCATAAAACAGCGCTTCTCACCTCCACACCTTGAAACACAAGGTATGCTTCTCGTATACAACCACATTTCGCATACATATCTATAAAAGACGAAGAAACATATATATTCGAACCAAATCCCGACTTACAAGAAACAGCATGCACTTGCTTCCCTTCAATCAAACTTGCAAGACCCGCACAAGCACTAACAGCAGACGATATCATAAACACGTCCTGCTCAAAACCAATCAACTGATAATCACGAAAAAGCAACAACGCCTCCTCATGAAGCCCGTTTTGCACGTACCCCGCCTGCATCGAACTCCAAGTAACCGCGTTTGTTTCCGGCATACTCTCAAACATCCTACTCGCATCTTTTATCAAACAACATTTCGCGTAAACATGAAGCAAAGCAGTCCCAACAAAACAATTCGAATCAACAGAAACCTTAATCGAAAAAGCATGCAACTGCATACACTCAAGTATAGCACATTTAAAAGCACACTCACAGAGAACACTGGAAATAGTAAACTCATTAAACAATGTTCCCTCTCTTAGCATTTGAATAAACAACATGAGTGCTTCTTGCTCCTCAGAAATCTTGGTTACTGCTCCAATCATTGTGTTCCATGAAACAACGCTTTTAAGCGGCATTTCATCGAACACTTTACGAGCATCATCAACTAATGAACATTTAGAGTACATGTTAATCAGCATGTTTGATGTTAATATGTCAGTTTGGAATCCAATACGAATGAGTTGAGCATGACATGTTCTTCCAGCCATGGAAGAATTTGTTTTGGCACATAATTGCAAGAGATATTGCAAATTTGATACACTGGTAGAATCGGCATTAACACTAACTAGGTTTGAATTGGGAAGGGAAAGAGAGAAATTTCTGAAATGAATTGAAGAAGTAGAATTATATAGTTTATGAAACCTTTTCAAGGGGTTCATGTGAGCTTCTTATGTTGTCAATTTTTGTGTATTGAAAGAGAGTAGAATTATTGGTTAGTAATTACAATTATTTATAAAAACAAAATAAATATTATTATTTGCTCAAAAAGAGAATGTAAAAAAGAGGTTTGAATTGTTATATTATGATCCGAGATCTAGTAGTAATATTCTCGATCTATTCGTCTCCCACCTCGAAGGATGTCCATAGAGGACAACTAAGAGGTTAGGCGAGGTCAAACACGTGTTAAACGTGAGAGTGAGTTCACCATATTCTCCATATATTATAGGACATGAGTCATCGAGTAAGCTCTCAATTCCAATAAGATTATTCTCATATAACCGAGAATGTAGCTCTAAGTTTCACTAAGTTAGATAACCATGTCTCTATATTGTAAGGATGAGTCACCCACCACACTCTCTAGTATATCAGAATCACACTACACATTACATGTATTATAGGCAGAGGATTCAACACCTTTCATTAAAGAACATGTGTTATATATACCTGCCTAAAAGGTTATTTCAAATTATCCTTTTTTTGATATCATAACCTTAAAGACATTTTTGTTAGCATATTGTAGTTACGGTCACTATTATTGTATTCAACGTAAATACAATTTGCGCTCATCATAGAGTCCAATAAATCATAGCATAATCCTCAATCATAACATGCATCATGCATCGAACCATGCATACCAATTTATGGGGCATCCCCCATCGCATCCACAAATCAAAAAGCACAAACTTTAATAGGTCATTTTCCAATGAAATCCAAACTTTACATAACATACTTATCCCAAAATCCCAATGTCCATTGGCACACATCCAACCACTCATTACATGTATTGATCAGTCATCACATGCATCATTTCATGTCTATCAATACGCTTAAAAAACAAACACATCTCATGTATCGGCACAAAGCATGCATGGATTCGGTGCCCACTCATGGAAATCTGTAATAATCTCCAACAAATCAATTTGAGATCATTCTTTTCTTGTTAACTTTTGTCAGCCAATTGTCTTAGATCTATGATTTTAGGATTGACATCAATTTTGCTAAAACATGGTTCATGACAGATATTAAGCAAGATGTCATAACATCTTGACCAAACTGATACAGTAGAGTGTGAGGTTACATTGAAGACAAATGTTGTGATATATTGTACTAGAATATCAGTACAGACTGTTTTAATTATTGACAGATTTGAATTGATTTTGTGATATTTCTTTTGAATATATCTCAATGATTTACGCAAGTCAAGAATATTTAATCTGGAACAAGTGATCTAATCTTCAATTGTACATAAGTTTCTAAAATTAGATGTTGATACAATTTAGGAAACTTGATGTTTTGTTCCAAGATTTAAGGAGATTTTTGTGCATAATTGGTGCAATCCTCAGCTTGTAGATCAAGAAATATTTTGGTGCAGATTTCAAAATCCATGGACTACTGAGAAGTATTTAAAGAGAAACCTAGACCTAATATATTTTAAGTCTTTCACAATCGTAAAATTAGGGGAAGTCTAGAGTCTTAGGTTTTGAGAGTCTCTTGTGTTTTTGTAAGTCACCCATGTATCTTTTGATATAGTGAGGTTGGTTGATTGTTACTTGATTGTTTGACAAGTTATTGTTCTTAGCTTAAAGCTTTTAAGCAAAGCTAAGTATTATTCTCACTCATGAACTTTTAAGTAAAGATTTGAGTATTATTTTTTATTAGAAGTGTAATCTTATGGTTTTAATTCTAGTCACTGGTTTGTGATTGTATTTTATCACTGAGGTGATTGGTAGGAAATGAGAGGATGATCTCATATCTACAAGGTTTCTAGGCAGAAATTGCACAAGGTAGCTGTTGTACCCCAAAACTTGTCCTCTCTTTTTCTCAAGACATTTCTCACAAAGATTTCCAAAAGCTCAAATTTGCACAAGTACAAAGCAGACAAAAAGAGTGTGCAGATGCAAGTAACTAGGTTGAATTCAAAATTTGGTTCAGGCTACATAACTGATCGAAAGGAGTGGTTGGCATATTTGGGAAAATCGAAGAAGAAGCTTCGATCCACAAGGCAATGACTTCCTTCATGTTTGCTTCAATCCACAAGGCAATGACTTCCTTCATGCTTGCTTCGATTCACAAGGCAATGGCTTTCTTCATGATTGCTTTGATCTACCTCTAAACTCTTCGACACATATAGTTTCTACACTATGAATTACAATTTGAGGTTTGGACATTTGAACTTTCGACCACTTAATCAACTGATGGTTACTGATAGGAAAGAAATCCATAAATTCTTTCATTTTAACTATGCCAATGAGATCATCTTGCATGCTCAAAGTGGCATATTCATATGAATATGGTCCATTAGAAGGACACACAATTGGTAGAAACAAATATTGTTTTGTCTATTGATAAGTTTGGTTGAAGGTTGTAGGTGGCCCATTCGAAGAACATACATTGTTGGATTTGAAGGACATACAATTAATGGTCCATTTGAAGGACATACAATTGGTCCATTTGAAGAATATACATTGGTGGATTCGAAAGACATACAATTAATGGTCCATTCGAAGGATATACAATTGGATTCCAAGAGCATACAATATGGTCCATTTGAAGGACATACAATTGACCCATTCAAAGAACACATAATTAGTGGATTCGAAGAACATACAAATGGTCCATTCGAAGAACACACAATTGGCGGATTCGAAGAACATAGAATATGGTCCATTCAAAGGACATACAATTGGTCCATTCGAAGGACACACAATTGGTGGAAACAAGTATTGTTTTGTCTTTTGATGAGTCTGGTCGAAGGCTGTTGAACAAAGTCCTATTTGATGCCAAGCTCAAGTTTGTTGTACTGTCCACATAACAGCCTAAAACCATGTCAAAAAACAGTATATTGTACTGCTATCAAATAACCCCATACCAAGCTGCTACAACACTCCAAAACTGCTGCAAATCAGTTCAAGCCTGCATTATCTCAACCCCATATTTGCACCAAATTAGCATACAAGAGCTGCATCAAAAAAGGCTATGAAGATAGCATACCCAAATTGTTCAAATTTTATTTGTTTTTCCTCCCAAAACCCCGGTAAGACTCTTATATAAATAAACTGTTTCACAACACATCTAGAGGGAATTTTGGAGAGGGCTTTTTGAAAAACAAAGAGAGGCTTTTTGGCAAGTCAAAGGGATAAGAGGAGAAGAAAAAAAGATAGAGGAAAGAACACTTAAAACACTCTTAAACCTAGAACCAAAAATTACAACACCTTTGTTTGTTCTCTCTTTCGAATCCAAGTTTTTCTATCCTTCGAACTCAGGTTCTTTCCTTCCTTCGAATTCAAGAATATTCAGGGCAGCAACTCAAAGTTCAAAACACCAACTCCAGATTCAAGGTTAGTCTTCCTGAATTTAAACCCTTCATTTCAAGCATAATATGTAAATAACCTTGCCTTCAAAGCTAACTTTTCGTTTGTCTTTCTTTCTTGTCAATTATATGTTAAGAACTAACCTGTACAGACCATAAAACAATGTTAGAGTAAAAAATAACAGCATGGTTCGACACAAAGCCTTAGGCTTCGAACACACTGCTTTATAGTCTCAAATGAAAGAAAACAAAAAAGGTGTGAATCGAAGGGTGTATGTTTCGATACGCACTGATTTGCAGGCCCAAACGAAAGAAAGCAAAAGGGGTGTGTGAATCGAAGGACATATGCTTCAAACATTTTTCTTTCTATTCAATATGGTTGTAATAATTAGGAATTTTATTGCTTTCCAACCCCATTTGTAAATTTGTATACCCCATCCCCAAAATATGTAATAGTGTAGGACATTTATTTTCCCCAATTTACCGCTTTTTATATAAAATGCTAGTAATTAGGGTGTGTATGGCAAGATTTAAAATCAACAAGTAGACAATCCTAATTCAAGACTAAAATGTATGCAATCAAACATACTATTCACACATGTGCACCTCTAGGGTAACCTCGCTTGTTGCCTCAGAAAATAGTCATGTCCCTCGAATATGGGCGTTTTAGCAAAGACCCTCGATAAAAAAAGATCGATGTCCCTCGATGTTGCCTCTGGTAAATGATCCAGTCCCTTATGAAAATTGACAAAACGTCTCATAAGTTGCCTTCTATGACTATACGATTGACCCATGCCCGTCCCTTCATATTCAACGATGGGGCTTCTTACCAATCAATGGTAAGATAGAAACATCTAAAGGAAAAGGAAAAAAACAAAGACCTTTTGAGTAGGTAGGACGCTCGTAGTTGCTTGCTCACAAACTAAAACAATTTCCACACTTACACTTTCAAAACATCTTCAAAAATAAACATCTCTTTGAACTATTTTCAAAACTAACATTTTATGCGCATTTTTATAGAGACGAGAATCATCACAAAGTTTGCCGAAATAAAGGCGTTTTCAAAATACTTTCAAAAACCATCACAAAACACATTTTCAAACAAAGAATTTTCTTCAAAGTGATCTAGCAAGCAACTAAGATCCCGTAGATAACTATAGATGAAAAGGGTGCTAACACCTTCCCTTTTCATAACCTACCCCCCGAACTCAAGAAAATATCTCTAAAGGTCTTTCCTTTTCTTTTCACCCTTTCCTTTATTGGATAAAAGAAAAGTCAGTGGTGACTCTGGCTATCCGCAACAATTGCGATCAAATGCAAAACACCCAAGTCAGTTCTCCTACCATATCACAGAACTGGCGACTCTGCTGGAGACAATTGCTTAAAAGTGGGGTTACCTTAGAGCTAGATCACCTTTAAAAATGATTTCCTTGTTTGACTTACTTGCTTTACATTTTGGGTCCTTGTTTGGGTTTTTGATCCTCTACCCGGATATGGGAACACCATTAGGTAAGTAGCAATAGATTATGGAAACTGTACAGTGTAGATCGATATCGTTGAAGCAATGGCTACGTTAGTGTGACACATTTGTTGGTACTGGTATCCCTTATGTTGAATCGAGGAAAATAC